AAGATCTAAAAATTCGTCACAATATTAAAAAAATCCAGGATTATCTGAATCGGGGGGATGGGGGGGGGGCGGGACGATGTGAAGCCGATCGTCGCCCACTGGTGTGGAGTTTGGGGCCTGCTCAAGGGCCCCGAAAATGTTTGGTGTTTTAAAGAGCAAACAGTGCCTTTGGTACGGTTAAGAACTATGATTTATTTAGCTAGTCAAAATTCTAATTTCAAGAGGGGAATATTGGCGTGATATATTTTTCAGAAACCGAGGGGGGGGGGTCAGACCCCCACTCTAAATCCGCCACTGATGGGGGAGAAAGAGTAGTTTTTTCTTGGGGGGGGCTTCTCAGTATCTAATCTGCTGCTGGTGGTGGGAGTGGTGTTGGTGCTGCTGCTGCAAGAAGCGGCTAGGGCTGACTTAGGTCGAGGGACATGCGCGCCATCTAGCGTTGGTTTCTACTAGTTGCGTTTTGATGACTACTCGTCGTATTTTGCCGTATTTAATCGTGTTTTGAATTCGACGAATCTGATAACGATGACGACTAATCATGTTTTGAATTCGACGAATCTGATAACGACGACGACAAACCGCGTTTTCATTTCGACTGATCTGATAACGACGACGACTAATCGTGTTTTCATTTCGACTGATCTGATAGCGATGACGACTAATCGTGTTTTGCATTTTTGTATAAACCGCCGCCCATAGTTAAAGTTCCAATAAATTTCATAAAGTCTCCTTAGTTTTGATAAATACATGTATATATATATATATATACTAGTACGTTTTTTGTTTTCATATTAAGAACTATTTTTCCCATGAAACTCTTTCTTCATGATGGATGAATGGTACGTTTAAAACTATTATAACTTTTTCAACTCTACAATTTCCTAGGGATGGATTTTTCATTTTGGTATGTCTAGTTTAAAGCTGATAATGACAGATTCTGTATGTATAACTAATAGTTTTCTGCATCTCTGACATAAAAAGGACTTTTTATTGTGCACTAAACTTAATCATTTATTTTGAAACAAAATGAAAGCCAGGTATATATATATTTCCATGTAATTTTGGCAGTTTCTGTGTGCGGTCATGCATCAGTTGGTTAGGTAATGAAGAAAACACATGAAATCAATCATTATTCAGGTGAGCCCTTTGTGATAGCATAGGTGGAGTCTGTACAGACTGCTATGAATATATAACCAATTTCTGAATAGAGTTTTTGTGTTGCAAACTTGAGCAAAGGATCATAACCATGTCAAACATCAGCTACATGATTGTATGATATCGTTGATCACTTCATCACCAAATTGTCTCTTTGATATGTTGAACTCCTCACAGCTGAAGTCGGGGAGATATTGGATCAAATTAGTTTAACACAAAGAGTTCATTTAAGCACCTGGATATTTTGTATGCCTAGACAACAGAGGATCTATAGCATTTTGTATGCTTATAGTCTGCAACGTAGCGTGCCAATAATCATGCAAAAAACATGTCAACTTCCACAATGACTGGAGGAATCGATAGCACAATGGGAGAAATGGAGAGTGTACATTGGCTGGATAAGATCAGTTTACCTATTATACATGGGTAGCTCCTAAAGTGTATGATTTTCATTCAGAGGGCTATGTATCCAATTGATTTACAGTGGCTTTACTAAATATTCAAGCCATTCTGTCTGTTAAGAATGATGGATGTGGTGGGATCACCAAGTTAAGTGTTGGAGAAGAAGAGTGGTTATGGATCCTAGAACTACTAGTTAGTCAGCTGGTTGGTTAGATTAAATGACATTCACTCTAACAGTTGTATCACATGTGGGCATGGACTACATGTGCACTTTCACTTACGTTCAGGTAGTGACTTCAACAGGATTTTAAATTGTGCTACGACCTGGGTTAACATCTCACTTCTATTGTTAAATACCTGAAGCAGGTTGACCTGAATAACTAAACGTACAAGTGTTGAAAATGCCAAGGTGTTGTATTTAATAACATGTGGAGCTATCGCACCTCGTCCACTGGGTCTATGTGTGTGAATCCACCAGAAAATGAAATCTTACCATTTCTACCATCAGAATGGAAAGAAGGTTGGAAAAAGGATGAAGGTACATGTAACATAATTACTATGGTTATTACATTGGTGCCTGTATATGAATATATTGACACTGTTGGTTGGTTGTGGTAGGTTTTTATAGATATTGACGTAATAAGTGCAAAATTCTATGCCTGATTGAACTGTATTTGTATGTGTTAAGTAGAATATTGATTGGGTTGATATGTACATGTTGACATTGGCTTTACATATAAGAAAGTATTTTTATACTAAGATATTTGCATCTGTCAGAATTTTTAAGAATTTTCTTCAAGGATTTTAAATTAGTTATAACATATTCAAGAAATGTTGTAGCTTTCACTTTAGAGGGAAAAAAATTATTAAAATTTTGAAGACCTGAAATGTTTAATACTTGCTCACTTCTCACAGTATGTTATAGGGCCTGTAGACAGTAATTTCAAAGGGGAGTTCCTTTTTCTGAAAAATCGGTCCCTTTTTCTCTCTTACATGACTAGACCAACTTGAGGAATGGCATACAGAAACTAGATTAAATTTTGACTCAAAATGGACCTTTCCTAGTAAAAAAAGTGGTTCTTTTAAACTTTTTGAACACCCCCTCCTACAAACTGTATATAATTTTATACATATACTCTCAGTATATGGGCTTGGTTATCATAGTTCTGCTGGCGTATTTCCTAATTCCCATTTCATACAATCATACAGTAGTTAATGCATCCACAAAAGAGTGAAGGAAATCCCTGGATACAAACAAAAAGTGTGAAGTCTACCACCAGTCCTGGATAAATGCTTGAGAGACTATTAATCATTGCATATGATGCTGCACCATACTGCAACTTTAAAACAAAGTAGATTACTTATATATCATTATATTGCCTCATGCTGGTATGCTTAACATAGGTATGGTCTCTGTGGCTTAAAATCCAGCTTTAACCAGTTGTATCTTATACACTGTGCGAGTCTGGGACTCGGTTGAAGAAACCATCGCAAGTTGTGTTGTGTTATACAAGGCAATAAGAAACAAAAGTTATCATATTGTTTAGAAAAAATGCACAGTGTATTAGTATAGGGTAGTACCTACATGTATACTCGGTATGTATGTTCGGTTGACTTGAGTTCTACCAAGAAGTGATGACTAAACATTTGAGCATTGGATTACCTGAAATTGTACAGGTGCATGTTCATTTTCAGTCTTTTCTGCCATAAAGCTTTCAACCTCTCTCATACCACCAGAATTTAGGATTATCTGTTAGACAGTTAAAGTGCTTCCAGACTCGGGCTGTACTGTATATCTGTGCAGAAGTACTATCTCATCTGTCTGTATTTTCAGAGGTTTATGTCACTGTCTTTCGTTCCAGGTTTACTTGGCAGTTATAGATAGACCCCACACACACACAAGAACATCTTGAGTATAGATATAGTATCTGTCTTTGATTGTCAGATATTTATGTCAGTGTTTAAATTTAATAATAATGTACCTGTCAGTGAGATACCCCCATCCTGATATTTGGACAACACAGAACAGTATATATATATATATATATATATATATATATATATATATATATATATATATATATATATATATATATATATATACTAGTAAGTATAGATGGCAGCTATATCTGTATTACAAAATGCTTATGGCGGTCCTTCATTTCAGCTGGGCTAAGCATCAAGCACACACACACACACCCCTACCCACCACAGGGGCGGATTTAGGCCGTCTTCTGGGTCTTCCGGAAGACGGTCAGATTTTCAAGTTTACATTGACGGGTATCTATTTTTTTCTGTCGGAAGACGGTCAAAAATGGAGGTTGGATCAACAAAGATAATTTGGAAGACTGTCAGAAAATATCTCTGGATCCGCCCCTGCACCACCACTACCTCTTCCCTGCCTCAGGGAGTTTATAACATATTTCATTATTTCTCAGATGTTTATGTCTGTGTTTTAATTTAATTCTAGATGTCCCTGGCAACGAGGCAGTCCCCCCAGATTCTGGCAGTACATCAGATGACTTGGATCATGTCCTGAGGAGAGTGGTAAATTTAAACCCAATTGATAACCAGCAACCTGTGTCTTATGCCAGCAACAAAATATGGTGAGTCCTATACATGCCAAATACTAGTATGAAGGGTACTTGAGTTTGACATGTGGTCATTTTCAGTATCTTTTCAGCATATCGTAAATCAACTAATGTCGGAAATGGATTTTTTTAGAAAATTTGGTTTACTTTACTGGTAGGCCACTTTTTGAGAAGGAATACTGGTATTATGTTTACCAGATGAAATACAATAAGCTGAATTATTGCACATCCATTAGCTTGATAATAAAGATTTTACTTATTATTATTATTCCACATGACTTTACTTATTTATTCATCTTTTACAGCACTGCAAAGTACAACATTTTGTCTTTCATTCCAAAGTTTCTATTTGAGCAGTCCAGGAAATATGCCAATATTTTCTTTTTGATGATAGCTTTATTGCAAGTAAGTAAAAAAATTTCACGCAGACAAAAAGATGTCAAAAAAAAAAAAAAACTAAATCATATTTCAAATGTTTTTCAATAAAAATTTGAAAAGTTTTGCCTAAATATTTTTTTTTAGAAGTAAAATACACTTAAAATTGAAAAAAAAAAAAGAAATACATTAACATATCAACTGCTGTACTGATTTTATTAAAAATACTTCTTCCCTAACAGGTCTTCAGTGATAAGAAGAACAGACTTTTTCATTTTGTTCTTTTTCTTGTGTGTTTCAGCAAATTCCCAATGTGTCCCCCACAGGTCGCTACACTACAGCACTTCCACTGCTTTTCATTTTATCTGTGTCTGCAGTCAAAGAGATCTTTGAAGATTTTGTAAGTAACAGCTTTTACAGACTTTCTGTGTAGTATAATATACATAACGCAGTGGTCACTGTTACAGTAGCAAATATTTAGTTCTAGCAAAAGAAAATGTTGCCGTTTTGTCAAATTCATTTAAAGTAAACTAAAAAGAATAATCAAATATTATAGTTTACTCAAGCCAAATTCATATTCTGTTGAACACCTTTGCCACCATATTACTGGAAGAGAAAAAACATAGTGTGAAATGCTTTAGATTCCTAGAACACAGATAAGTAAATTATATTCCCTGATGGGTAGATAAATATAGTTATGCCATAAAACCATTGCACAACATACTATAGGAACATTGAATTTCATTATAAATTATTGTGAATATGTTTTTTTTTTTTCTTTTAAATATTTTTGATATGAAAAAAGTATATATTTATACTTTTTTGTGTTCTTTTAGAAGAGGCATAAAGCTGATGGGCAAGTGAACAACAGAAAAGTATGGGGTGAGTGCTTCTTTATAGACATCTGAGAATTTATGATAATATCAACCTGCAGACATAATGTTTTTTTCCTCTGTTCTATACCAAAAGTCAGAAATTAGAATTAAAAGATAAAAGCTTCCATGCGATGAAATAACAAATCTTTTTAAAGATTCAAGTTATGGCAGATTGTCTTTGTATCATGGGTTTGCGATGTAGTACATACCAAATACATATTTATTAATGCCATTCATATTGAATGTCTGAGGGAGCTAAATGGTTAATTAAAACATGTTGCTGATTTCTCTTGGGAGTTGGGTTTGATTTGCAAGACTACATTCTGGCCAGAATGAAGGTATTGATCCATCTTTGGTTCTAGAGTACTAACTGAGACTGTTCTCTTCACTGACAGGTGCTTGCTTGGGAACTGGAGTTATATGTAGATAAAGAGAGTAATCTCTGTTTGGATTTCAAACACAGGACATACCAGTATTGATCAGTCTGGCTTGAATGAGATGATAATACATGTTGTATTGACAACAGTGACGGTTGACTAAATTCACAGTTGCCATGCTTTCAAGTCCTTTCTTACTTGTCAGTGCATCAAAAATCTCTGCAAATGATGTCTTTATGAATCTTTTCCAAAATTGTAAGCCTTGTGTGAGCCTGATTTCTGGGCCTTTTATATATGGTGGTTAATATGGGAATTAATAAAATCTACAATGCATTTTTAGTGTTAAGACGCCATGACTGGCAGTTGATCAAATGGACCGATGTTGTGGTGGGGGACTTTGTCAAGGTGGTCAGTGGGGAGTTCTTCCCAACAGATCTAGTCTTATTATCTTCAAGGTAAGTCTACATACAAGGCTATTTTCACTAAGACTCTGTACACAACTAAGTTGATCTGTGGACTAAGTGAGCTGCCAATGGCATAACCCACTTGATAGCTTGTTGCATAAACCCCTAATGGATTCCCAACAAGGATTACGCTACAAGCTTTCATATTTGATATGTGGCTCAGTTAGTCCGCTGATCAACTTGGTTGTGAACAGTGCCTTACATTGAGCAGTTTACTTTAGCAATGTACACTAATATGTAATTACACAATAGGAGGTTGTACTCTCTTTCATGAGTTTGTAGCATTTTCATGAGTTCGTAGTAAACTAAATTCAAATGTAGCCAGACTGCTGCTCAAACAGCTTTTTCAGAAGTAGGTCAGCCTTTCGTGACACAAGATTTAATATATACATCTTTTATTTATAGTAATTGCAATGTTTTCCAGTGAGCCTCAAGGTATGTGTTATGTGGAGACGTCCAACCTGGATGGAGAAACAAATTTAAAGATAAGACAGGTAGAAATACCTTTACTAAAACATAGTTGTAGGTGCATGTAGATAAATATAATTAGAATTATAATAATCACCAATTAGCAAGGTTACCATTGCCAACAATATGACTTTCAGAATAGCTCACCAATCATTGAGGATACTATTTCTTAGATTAAGAAATAGCTCACTAAATCCAAGCAAAATTGATGAAATAAATTTCCAAGAACAACACTTTTTAGTAATATTTGAAAAAAAAAGGTAATTATAAATATAAACACATACCCTCACACCACCCATTTCAAAGACAGCACGTTGCTGCAGAGTGCTAATCGCTGAATTATTCATCCTATCATTTATTGGGGTATTCCTGGCTTTTTGATATGCTGAAGACAAGACCAAAAATTGATTTTTTCACGGGGAACTTTTTTCCTAAAGCTGTAGCAGACATGGAGATGATTCCACTGGGTAATTCCTGTAGCTTGTCATCAAGCTGAGAGATGTGATCAGAGAAATTAATAGAAAGCTGCATGTACACCTGACTACTTTAGGGACCATTCACAATGAATTAAGTCAACCAAGCTAATGTGCACTAACTCCACTGGAAATCTCGCTGAGTGCAATTAGATTAACAGACTAACACGTCTCCCCTGATGTTGAGTAGAATATAGAAAAGCTGGCCCCCGTTTCACAAAGAATCTTAAATCCGTAGTCGACTAGCTCGAGCTGGGTGGCCTAGCTAGGTCGACTTAGCTGAAGTCGACTAGGAGTGTTTCACAAAGAATCTAACGTCTTAGCTTGGCGTGCTTACCGTAGTCGATGCGCACGAGAAACTCTTCAAGAAAAGGAGGTGTAAAATATCAAAAGTTTCACAAGACAAGATGTTTCATGGCCTCTTTTGGCCGAGAACGAACGTTTATCAACAATAAAAATCAGCCAAAACAGAAACAAAGTTTGTTTTTGAACTTTACTGATTAGTTTAACTTCGATACAACTTCAAAGTAACAATTAAACATTAGCTTGTCGTGGAACACTACTGAGGGACATCTAGCGGTCAAAAACATTAACAAACACGCGATCAGCTGGATAAAGTGGAATTTTATTTTTTATTTTAATATTCCATAAATGTCAGTGCTATTCAAGGATATTATAACACAATATCTTGAAGGAGGTATGTTCTTTCTTTCTTTGTTGTTTATGCTCTCATTTACCGAGTTTTAGTTGAGCTTGCCGACTTAAGTCTCCTCCTGAGGAGGCTTGACATCGTCGACTTACAGCTAAGAAAAAAACGACGTAAGTGACCTTTTAGATTCTTTGTGAAATGGGACTTAGTGACGTAACGCCTTAATTACGTTGGTAACCAAGCCCTAAGTCAGGGAAACCGACTTAAGTTTTTTTGTGAAACGGGGGCCTGGTGATTATACAAGTAGCTAGGAAACAAGAGGAGGCATGTTAGTCGCACTAGTTAGGTCAACAAAATTTATTGTGAACAGCCCCTTAGACAGGAAATTGGTTCAATTTACCAGAATTACCAATTAGTTGATAAACAGTGATGCTTAAAGTATGATCGACTGATGAAACAGGTTGAGCCTATTTTAATCTGAAGTGTGCAGGCATGAATGCAGTAATAAAGACTGTATCCCATGACATTTAAAATAACCTCTAATAATTTTTCACAAAACCTAACATCTTTCTAGATTTTCTTATCCACAATATAAAGAGAAAATCTTTAATGCGAGAAGGCTTTTCCCTGAAAGAATGACCAAATTGTTTGCTTGGACTTCAGGCTCTGCCACAGACAGCCAAGTTGCTGACCAGTGCTGATATTCTGTCCCTCTCTGGAACTGTGGAGTGTGAGACCCCTAACAGGCACCTGTACGAGTTTGTGGGGAACATCAGACCTTCTGGAAGGTTGTAAGTATTAATTATTATGGGATGCATTTTTTTTTTCTTTTGTCACTCAGATATTGATAGAATTTTGTACTCTGCATTTGTAAAAAAATTGAAAAAGGCAGTTTTTTTTTCTTTTTTGTTATGAATTTTTTTCATTTACTGCTATCTTTTTTTGGTAGTTCGATAATTATTCATATTTCAGGGCCTATCCCCTGGGTCCAGACCAGCTGTTACTACGAGGTGCTGTGTTGAGAAATACCAAATGGATATATGGTGAGAGCTCGTCTGTGCTTTATATATCTGTTGTCATGTTTGGACCATATTACACCAGAAATAAACTGACAGTGTGTTATATCACTTTTGTAGGTGACCAAATTAAATTAATTAAAGACCTGCCCATCGGGCCTCATATTGGTTTAACACAAATGCTAGAAACATAAAACTGTATCTTGAAAGTATTGCTGAAAAAGACTATAACGATTAACTCAAGTTTTCATTTCATTATCTCGTGGAGTTTAAACTGTTCTGATACTTTTTAGTCTCGTTATGATTCCAGGTCTGGCAGTGTACACAGGTCATGAGACCAAGTTAATGCTCAACTCTACTCAAGGTGCTCCTCTGAAACGCTCTCATGTAGAAAAAGTCACCAACTATCAAGTGAGTTTGAAAAGTAGTGGGTGAATTATGTTTTCCATACTTGTCCATAAAAAGTGCATTCTTTCTAGAATTCATGCAGTCTGTACAAAATTGACTTAAAAATCTCCAAACAAAAGTAGATTGTCATAATTTTACCTGTATTATTTATAAAATGTAAACATCTCTTTGTGCTGTTCCAGATTGTAGTCCTTTTCCTCATCTTGCTGTTCATGTCAGGATTCAGTGCAGCAGCCAATGAAATATGGACCAGTGGCAGGGACAAGAAAGATTGGTATCTAGCCTTCAAAGGTACAACTAGTTTTGAACTGTATAGTGTGTGTGTGTGTGTGCATTGCATATATATATATATGTATATGTGTGTGTGTGCATCGCACATGTGTGTATGAGGGGGGAGGGTTGAATTTGCATGGTAGATTAAATGTTTCATTTGTAGAGACAATAATTGAGAATGCTGACATTCCAGAAATGAGTTGACCATGCTTGTGTTTTTTACATTATTCTCTATATACTGCCTTTGCTCTTTTAATTGAATGTACATTTTTTCTCCTTCACTGTATGCAGCCTTATTTTAGGATTGTTTGCTCTAAAAGGAAAGTAATGATTTGCATATTTGAACACGTATTGTCCTTTTCAGAAATGGCACCCAGCAACTTTGGCTACAACTTCCTTACCTTCATCATTTTATACAACAACCTCATTCCCATCAGTCTTCAAGTGACCATTGAGTGTGTCAAGTTCATACAAGCTATTTTTATAAATTGGGTGAGTGGTTTCAGAATTTCTTCTGTCCCGTGACTAGTGTGACTTTTCCTCGATATGATATTTTATTTATAATTTTGGGAAAAAAACTGTCTGTAATTCACTGTCCAAGGTATTTTAACTTGTTAATTTGTGGTGAATTTTTTTTTACCGGACGCTGATTAATGAGGTAATGTTTATAATATGCTAAAAATAGATAATCTAAAACACTACCATGAATTAATAAGACAAAATAAAATGTTTTATCATCATTATATTACAAAAACTTTTTAATAAAAAATCAAAGAAACTCGTTTAGATGTAAAGTAATAATAAACTGTTGTTAAACTTTTCTATCAACATTCAAGTACCCCTTGTTAGTGTTCTGCAGGTTTTGGTCCTGTCCTTTATTTTAGGATATAGATATGTACTATGCTCCCACTGATACCCCAGCCATTGCAAGAACATCAAATCTCAATGAGGAATTAGGACAGGTGAATATGCTTTATTGAATGCTGCTGCTTAATCTTTGAAATAATTATTTCAATACCATTTTGCCAAATATTGATATTGTGCCATATGCTGTCAGTAATTAAAACAAGACTTAAAGGGTGCAGAGTCTCATTCCATTCTTATCAATTGACCAATCAGATGGGAAAATTTTTCACCGTGATTTGATAAAATTTTGTAAAAATTAGACTAAGTTTGTTTGTGTTTCAGGTGAAGTATGTTTTCTCTGATAAGACAGGCACCCTCACAAGAAATGTGATGGTGTTTAAGAGGTGCAGCATAGCTGGGGTTATGTATGGGTTAGTATACATGCCATAATTATATATTATTAACACAGTATATGACTGTATGTTATGTGCATACTTAAGCATTCTGTTAAAGTATATATGGATGAGTTAATGCATATGTTGCTATATAAAGCCCTTTTTACACTGGATGGCGTCCTTTCTGTGTCCCATAGTATGGCCTCGTTTGACAGTAAAAAAATACTTTATGTGCTGACAACTGGCTGATCATTGAGCATTCATTTTGCAACCAAATCGATGCTTGTTCCTCCTTTTAACAACCACATGCAGCGATGTCAGTTTCATGGTGGTACAAAGGATGCAGAAAAGATTCCATCAAGTGTAAAAGGGGTTTAAGGTTGTAATTCCTGGCATATATTACTGCTACTTTTAGTTTAACCAGATTGATATTCAATTTATGTATGCAAATGGAAAGCAAGATACTGTTGTCGGCTTGATCAGAAGAGCTCTGTCAAATATGCAGAGTACTGTAGAGTATGAATTGTGAAAGTTGTTATATCAAAACAGTTACTCTGCTACTTCAGTCAACACGATGCTGATGACACTGATGTGTTTGATCCAACTCTGATACAAAACTTGAAAAGTAACCATGTAAGTAGTCTGCTGAATTCTTCACTCATATACCAGGTACAGTAAAGCTATTAGCTACTTCAAAGGCAGTAGTGCATTCTAATAGAAAAAAATGGTGGAAACTTAGTTAAGAACTTATCTAAAATATACATGATTGTATATATACATGTATGACAAGAAGATAACTTCTGTCATTTCTAATGTAATTTTTTATATGGATGTCTTAGAACTTTGTTACTGAGACCAAGCTCATGCACTGTGGAGAGGGTTCCATTGCAGCTTTAAATTTTCATTGAATCTGAAGATGTGACTACATTTCTAGGTGTCAGCGAAGGTGATATCAGACTTTCTGTCCCTGTTGGCAGTGTGTCACACAGTCATCCCTGAGGTAGATCCAAATGATGAGAGGAATATTATATACCAGGCCTCCTCTCCAGGTATTGCCATATGAAATATATTATATAAATATGACGCAATATTGGACAAAGTTGTTCCATTATGTTTATCAAAGTAACACCAATGAGAGATGGTTTAAATTGCAAAAAAAAAAAAAAAAAAANCGTCAGAAGAAAAAACTTTTGAGAGAAACCTCAAATTAAAATTCATAAAGAATGAAACATTAAAAGTGAAATATTTGAAATTTGTAATTTATCAAATTTGACATGTTTATGTTGAGTATTAGTGGTAAAATCTGCTTTTTTCTTTAGTTATTTGTGCCATATGACAGTCTCATAATTATATCATTCTTATGCTGTCACAATGAAAATGTCCAGTATACACCTATAATTTATGCCTAACATGTATAGCTTTTATTACTCTCATGACATTTCAGTTATACTGATTCCAAACTCTTATTTCCAGATGAAGGTGCGTTAGTCAAAGGTGCCAAGAAACTAGGATTTGTTTTCACTCAGAGAACTCCAGAATCTGTCACAATAGAAGTGGTATGTTTTCGGATTCTCACATCTTTTCCCTTACAATTATGTGACTTCTGCTCCTCTCACACAGATGGTACGTCCAATACCACTGATGAAGTTCATCATTTTATGTGACTTAAATAGTTTAAGGGAAATACCCAAGTGAAGCACAGGTGTTATGAATCTATAATAATTATTATGATAGATCAACATCATAATTATAAAACCATTTTTTCATATGGAATGAAATCACCTTCTTATGGGTAATATTTGTTTGCTAGCAGCTAAATTGTATGTAATGCTTTTTAAACTTGTATAACATATTTTGTCGGCTTTACTACTTTCATTAGGCAAAACATATAGACTTGGGCTTAGGTTGATTTTTTGACCAAAAGCAAACATCTGCAATTGCTTTATTTGGTTAATTATTATCTGAATGTCAGCTTCATCCAAGATAACATCAAAAGTTCCAACATTCCTGTCAACTGAATTTGTTGTTGTCTGATGGATGGATTAGGCAGCAATGAATTGCCTTTTTTCTCTGAATGGTCAGAAATGATAGCATTGGTCAATGTTATGCTCAAATTCACTGATATCATTATCTATGCTAACTATGTAATCAAGTTTAATGTACAATGCATTTGATGATAACTCATTTTAATCATCATGTATTTTTTACAGATGGGTACCCCTAAAACATATGAAATACTCAATGTGTTAGATTTCACAAGGTATGAAGGAAAATGGGTAACTGACTCAAAAAAATTAATGTGAAATTGCATAAGCTGTTTTTCATACAGTGCCTTAGCTATTCCAAAGTGCCCATTAATTGATTTGTTGATCTTTGTTTGACCTTTCTGTATGTCAGTGAGTATAAAGAAATAAGTTAACTTTTATGCAGTCATCCCACTCATGCAGGTCAAAATTTTTGACAAATTTTTTATAGATTGAGGTCTGTGTTTGAAGGTACATGTACTTATACAACTGAATGATTTCATAGTTTTAGAAAAAGAATGTCTGTGGTAGTGAAGACACCCAGTGGGAGGATCAAACTTCTTTGCAAAGGAGCTGTAAGTTTGGTATTTTTTTAAATAAATTCCAAATGCTTTTTATATTAAAAATATCATTATCACTGTGGTTACCTCGGAGCAGTATGTGCACATGTGAAAAGTAGATTTACATTTGCCCTCAGACTAGAAAGATTGAAGTTAACCTTGTTTGTGCCTTAAGGCAGGGTTATTGTGACAAATAATGTTGATGGTGATGATAAATTTGTACCACAAATTAAAACACTTGCATATGTTTTATGTTGGATGCCATAATATTGATTTCCTTTCCTTTCCATAATATTCATTTCCAGGATTCTGTGATTTATGAAAGACTAGGCCCCGAACAACCATATAGAGAGGACACAATGAATCATTTAGAACAGTTTGCCAATATTGGTAAGAAAAAAAACGTGTTATATCCAAATTAATATTTTGCCTATATAGAGTTGAAGAGTTGATTGCTTCAAGTGAGATCTGAAGGTTTTCAAACATTAAAAAAATATTATTTAATTTTGAACCTTTCTCAATTCTTTCCATTTAGGTCTGAGGACATTGTGTTTAGCTGAGGCGGAAATAGAGCCCGAGTTTTATGATGAGTGGAAGCACACATACTACAAGGCCAGCACTTCATTACAGAATAGAGAAAGAAAGCTGGAAGAAGCTGCTGAACTTATAGAAAAGGTATTTTGTTTAATGGCCGTGTATGTGAAAATATTAATAAGTTATGTTTACGCTAGTTTTATAATTGGGTGAATCTATAACTGAATGATTTCGTAAATAGAAAGATACTACCGGTATGTATAAAAAGAAACAATTATTTTGATCACTTAAAAGCACTGTCTTTATTTAACCAGGTGTGTTCACTGTCTCAACATCTAGACATGATAAATTTTGAAAAACTTATCGATCGAGTCAAACTTTTTTTCAGAATCTCAAACTTTTAGGTGCCACAGCAATAGAGGACAAATTGCAGGAGGTAAAAATGACATTTTTTTGGATGTATAAAATCTGAATATTTAAAATAAATTTTCTTATTGTATGTTAAATTTTCATACCCATAAATATTGCTAAAACTGGTTTGATCTGTACAGTCTACAGACATTGTAAATCATGTAGTCAACCCTTAAAATTGATTTATATATAATTTCATATTTTGATTCAGTGCTGTAACAAGAGTTAGGTATTATAATTGAATAGGGATGTCTTGTTTAAAGACAGTTATCCTGTAATCAGTCTTAATTTCTAACTTATAATCCACTGATATTGTTCTGTTGCCTGCAGGGTGTTCCAGAAAGCATAGCCAATCTAGCCAAAGCCGATATCAAAATATGGGTGCTAACAGGAGACAAGCAGGAGACAGCCATTAATATTGGTAACTACTTGATCTAGTTACTTGATAAATTATATAGGAATGGATAAAAAAATTTATCAAATTAGGGGTTCATTGAACACCTTCCAAGACACACTTTCTCTCAGCCTGAATAAAACAGTTATGTATGTTTAGATGGCTGCACATTTTAAGATGATATTATATACAGGCAATCACCATAGAAGGGATCAAGTTGATTTCATTCCTTCACACAGGAACTTGCATGCAATTAGCACTCATGATAATATAGCAATAATCAAAGGTTGCCATCTTTGTACACAATTACGGTCTTAACATTTTGAGACTGTATCAGTTGTACTTATTGTACTGATTTGAGCTGCTGTCTTTTTAAGTGGTTTATAATTAGTAGCTTTCCCCATTATTATCCAATGATTGATTCTATTAAAATAGCAGCCATGATAATGGCCTCTAAATAATGTATCTATTTGGTTGGATAAAAGACTTAGAACTCATGGTATTAAAACACAGACCTGAAAGTCAATTTAAATTATACAATATTAACAGAAAAAAAATAATATTACGTGCATGATAGCATTTCTGTTGGTATTTTTCCAGGCTACTCTTGCAAGCTTCTAACTCAGGGAATGCCACTACTTATCATCAATGAAGAAAGCTTAGATGTAGGTTGCTTACAGCATCTAAGACATGATGAGTGTTTTTGAACTTGCCAAATATCTGAAACATTTAGTCAACAAATTGACATGTTGGCGTGTTTATCAAAGTGGATTCATTTTGGCATTAAGTAAAAAGAAGAAAATAGCTTCAGTTTGCTTTATTTGGTGTGATTCATATTACTTGTTATTTATTTGGCATGAATGTTGAACACTGTTCAACATTGAATCACATCAGGAAAATGCAGTAGCGCATTTTTGTTACTTTTATCATTTGTTATTATAACAAACGTAAAATCCAACTTTTAGTTGCAAGAATAAATTATTTAAATTAGAACAAAAAGTGTAAAAATTACATAATGCAAAATAAAGCATAATAGAAATTTCCTCATAATTCTAACCAATTTTCAGTCAACAAGAGAGACATTACGAAAACACATTGAGGACTTTGGTGAACAGTTAGGCAAGGAAAATGAAGTAGGCCTGATAATAGATGGACGTACACTGAAGTTTGCCCTGACCTGTGATTGTAGGAAAGACTTTCTGGATATAGCAAAATCATGCAAAGCTGTGATTTGTTGCAGGTACATTGCATAATTTGTGGTAGTTTTTGAAGATAATCAACATCCTGTACATTGTGCATTAAAATGGAGTTAAAAGATTAATAAAAGATGATTAAAAATTTTGTTGAACCATATTTTAATTATTGTTTAATTATTTTTAATAAAATGGAAACTGTAATTCAGCAATGTCATGTTCATGTAATTCAATAATAAAATGTTTTCCCTGCAGAGTTTCTCCCCTACAGAAGTCAGAATTAGTAGAACTAGTAAAGTCTGCTGTCAAAGCTATAACCCTGGCCATAGGAGATGGTGCTAATGACGTTGGCATGATACAGGTGAGAATAGGAAATAATTAACCTTTAGGTTATCAGTTTATACCTCAAGAACTTTTACATAGTCCATGAAATGTTATTGTAGAAAAATTAAAATACAGTAACATTCAGTACTCTCTCTCAATATGCTGGAAGTGGGACTGAAAAGTGTGGATGAAGTATGTGGTATACAACATTATGTTCCATATGCTGTTGTTTCAGGCTGCTCACGTTGGTGTTGGTATCTGTGGATTGGAGGGCTTGCAGGCCACATGTGCCTCGGATTATGCTATTGGTCAGGTAGTAGAATTGATTTATTCTTATATGAAGCCATTAAAAAAAAGAGATGATGGCAATAGGCTTTGAAGTCATTTCAAAGAGATTTTTTTTCATATAAGATGGGCAGCTAAATATGGTAAACTCAGATGCTGGCTGTAGGTTTTGTGGTCATTTCAAAGATTTTCTTATGAGGAGATATGAAGTTAAATTTGGTAAACTCAGATATTAACAATTGACTTTATTCTAGAGTAGAACTTCAACTATTAGTAGAATGTCTTGTATATGATATGCGAAAAGAATCTTATAATTTTTTTTCCAGTTCCGCTTCTTGAACAAGTTATTGTTTGTACATGGTTCCTGGAGCTATACAAGAACTGTGAAACTGATTCTGTACTCTTTTTATAAAAATGTCACCCTCTATGTTATACAAGTAAGTATTCATTTGACATGATATAAATATAAAACAAGTGATAATTATTAAACAGAGGATATTTTTTATATACAGGATCAGAATATTTTGGGTTGTTAAAGAATGATTATGAGGTGTAATAAAAGCAGTGATTTGCTTTTGAAAATAGCATTACGATAAAACATTAAAAAATACTATTATAAATACTGAGAGGTGTAAACGGTATACATAAAAAGTATGTTTATCACTTATTTAACATTCAGCCACCTTTTGCAGGCAAGTGCTGTCTTTATTTTTGACTTAAAATTTTTTCATCCATTACTTTGCATATTTTCAGTTCTGGTTTGCTTTTATGAATGGCTTCTCAGGGCAAATCTTATTTGAAAGGTGGACAATAGGTCTCTATAATGTGGTGAGTGTTGAAATTTTATCTTAAGTTTTTGATGGAGATAAAAGAAAATAATTGTACATATGAATTAAGATTTTTAAATGGGGTTTTAACATACTATGAGGAAAATTGATTCAGATTTGCAAATGGTATAATTTATCCCACTTCAAGCATTTCAATGCAATATTTTCTGTGCATGGCAACGGTGAAAAACCCATGAAAACTAAAGTATAAAAATGTCACCAAAATTTTGTTTTCTCTGCTACAAAGGCATGTCATCTCATTTGATAAAAACTTGCTGACAGTTAAGGTTGTGATCAAAATAACTTTGATGATAGTGTTCCTCCTTTTATTTTAGTCATTATTTTTTTTTTTTACAATCAGATCTTCACAATGGCCCCTCCAGTGGTGCTAGGTCTTTTTGACAGGTACTGCAGTGCAGAGAGTTTGATGGAGTTCCCAGCTTTATATAGAACATCACAGAACTCAGATTTATTCAATGTCAAGGTAACTTTATATCTATATATATTATGAAAGATATTGCTTTAAATGATAATTTGCTTTGTTCTGAAACTGATGACTTAGTTAGGAGTCACAGGGTTACTTGTGTGATGATATTCAGAAAGTTTATAGCTTTTGTTTGATGGGTCAATTAACAATTGAATAGTGTCTAGAAATAATGGGAATCCATCAAATAAACATAGAATGCAAGTAAGTGCAACTCGGCACTGTATTATAGTATTACAGCAGGAGAGGAGGCTCACTTCATGAGCTGGAAATACATGCAGATAAGGCATGTCTGCGAAAGACTTTTAGAGTATACATTTTTCACTTCATATTTGTAAATCTTTTTGTTTTTCATTCTTTCAGATATTCTGGATGTGGATATCAAACTCAGTTTTCCATTCCATAGTTTTATTCTGGATGACCTTGCTAGCACTTAATCAAGACATAGCATTTTCCACAGGTCAAACTGGAAACTATTTGTTTTTGGGAAATATGGTATATACAGTAAGTATCAGCAGCTAAAATGGGATAGCAATTATTTCTGAAAATGTGATCTATATAGTAAGTGTTTATTGGTCAAGTTAGAAACCCCTTATTTCTAGGAAATGAGTCACACATTGAGATCCTGCCCACAGATCAAATAAGAAATTACTTATTTCTGTGAAACATCATGTTAGTATGCAGTGATAGATTACCTTTTAGCTTTATTGATGAACACAGTTGATGAATACACATTTTTAGATTTGTTTTAGTTTAGAATAATATGTAATATTGCTACATGTGGTTTGATAGATTAGTGTCAAGTTCTGTTGATACATGTATCTGACTGGTTTCACAAACCAAAAGTTCAGCCAGGAAATTGGCCTAAATTATTAGACCAAAATTTGGATCTTCAGTTCAAACTAATGTGAGTTGTAATGTCTTGCCTGCATTGGACTACTGCTGATTAAACTTAGGTCAGAGTATACGAAAATTTTGGTCTGACAGTTTTGACCAATTTTTTAGCTTTAAAAGTTCTTTTGTTACACAGTTCCCTGCATTTTATCTTCCCTGTATTTCAGTATGTGGTAGTGACAGTGTGTATTAAAGCTGGTCTGGAGCACAGTGCATGGACATGGGTAAGATATAAACACACAATTAAACACTAAATACTATTTTGTTTCAGTTATATGACTGTATCTCCCAGATAGCCAAGCACAAGCTTGTGTAGGTACAAATACAAAATGAGTTGTTTGGTTGTCTCTATCTCCAGTAAAGCACTGCAAGCATTTTACTTTCAAAACCTGCTTGGGAATATTGAAAAATGGAAAAAAAATATTAGGGTTGATAGTACGTACTTCACAGAGGTTTTGAATTTACTTACAGATATTTTTACTAGCTGCCATTGATGCAAAGGGGAAAATGGTTGCATTTCTACAGTAGATTTTCTGTCCAATAAACCATGAATATTGACTGTTCCTGATGCTCTAGTACAAGCACATAATGTTATGTTCCAGATATCTCACCTAGCCATATGGGGCAGTATAGCAAGCTGGTTCCTGTTCCTGATAGTCTACAGCCATGTGTGGCCAGCCATTGATGTGGGACCAGAGATGGTGGGGATGGTAAGTACAGTGGTTAAAGGCGCATACCCAATGAAACTCTTGTTCTACAAAGATAGATCCAACTTGACCAAACAACTGACTTTCAGTATTCAGATATTATCATTACAATGCCTGCTACCATCTTGACTTGTACTTTATGTCCCTAAAGCTTCATGTTAGGCTTTTTTATTTATTTATTTATTTATTTATTTATTTATTTATTTATTTATTTATTTATTTATTTATTTATTTATTTTATTTTATTATTATTATTTTTTTTTTGCATTTAAATTATCATAATGATTTTAGAGTAATGAATTTGTCATAAAAGACATTTGTACAAAAATGTTTTTAACTGCAAAAATGATGATGATTGATGGACAGATACTTAAAAACAGATAAAACCTAAAGTGAGGTAATTAATATATATAAGTAAGTGAGAACATGGCTGCTATACTAGCAATAGCTTTGTCAAATGTGAATTAACTTACATTGTACATGAAGGACTCGAAATGACTTAATGTATATTTTTGTATTTTCAGGACGGTATGGTACTTGGTTGTGGGATCTTCTGGATGGGTTTGATTCTTGTTCCAACAATGTCTCTTCTCAGAGATGTGGCATGGAAGGCGTAAGTCTACTTGCAAATTTGTAAATTGGAGATAAAGAGAGCTAAGAATTGAAATTTTGAGTAAAGGCCAATTATTTTCCTTTGTTATATTTTATAAAGGCCGCATACAAGTGTAATCTTTTTTGTGTACAGTTACTAAGAAATTGAGATGCACTAATGTATATACACACAACCTTAATTAAATTCTGGTGTTTTAAGAATTGTTCCTATGTAGTCTGTGCACATGTGAATAAAAGTTTGTTACTATAATAGTTTAAAATGAAAATGTACACTTTATAAAATGGTAAATCATAATGTTGCAATGCTACTTGTTATATGTTCATCAATGCCGTGTTGGATGTTGAGTATTGTTACTACGTATTGTAAATGTAACTCTTAGGATTGTTACTCCATCTGCTGTACACCTGAAAGCACATACATGTAGTCAACACAGATGAACTGATCCATATCACTTGTCAGTCACTGTATCACTTTCCAATTTCTAATAAATTTAAGACACTAAAATATGTGTCATTTTAACTAGTTAAGGCACTATGGTTTTCGATGGTGGTAATGAACATATAAAAAGAATATCGAATTAAAGAATCTGATATAAATCTTCTGTTTTGATCTGAAGTTTCCGCAGAACAGTCTTCAAAACATTGCGTGAAGAAGTACAAGAAAGGGAGATTGCAGGAATGGATTTATCCAGTGTCATTTTTAAAGCAACTAAGAAAAGGTAATTGTACTTTTATGAAATAAGTTTGGGATTATCTTTTGATTTTGGTTTATTGTTATTATTTTTTTATTTTGTTTTCATTTGTTTTAGCTTTTGTCTCTCCATCCCTTACTACAGTTATCTCATACAGTTGTTTTACTTGTCTTAAATTCCACAAACCTGAGGGTATTATGTAGTATTTTTTGTCTGGAAAAGTTTTTTTTTCTCTCTTATCATATTGCATTGCTTTTTAGTGCTCTTATCATATTGCATTGCTTTTTAGTGAATAAGTTGCTAGAACATGAATGGGACTCTGTTTGCACTTGTATGAAAATCTATGAAACAGAGTTATTCACAAAATCATCCTTGATAGTGAAAATGTAGACTTATGTCTAATATTAAAATGGACAGGAAAAGAAAAAGAAAACATGCACTTCTCTCAATCACTTTATAAAGTCAAATAGACATAAAAGCTCTATCCATAGTGATGACTGCACATATCAGTGATTTTATAAAATCTTGAAACAAAAAAAATCCAAGAGGCAAAGTACTAATAGTGCTGTACAGAGTCAACTGTCAATAATTGCACATGCCATAGAGATAAACAATTAGGAGGTTGCTAGATTTAAGTAATTTTTGTCAATGGATGAATAAAACCAGTAATAAGGAATAAAGAACACTGGTTGATCAGAGCTGGCATAACACTTGTCAGACAAAAATGCACTAGCATGGGTGAATCAGAAAACACTTGTTTGTCACAGGTTTATAGATGAATTCATCTCCTATATTTGTATGCACTGATTTTAGTGTGAGCATGCAATATGCACCCTGATCAATTTTTTGTGGTGTATGGGTTAAATGGTGAGCTGTTAATCAATTTAGTGTGCACATGCTTATGGGTTGGGAACTCGATGTGTTTTTTTTTTTTTACCAAAAAAAGTTTTTGCAGTATGTGATGCTCTAGACACAAGTTTTAAGCGATCATTTATTTTAAAGTTAAAATTGAAGTTTGATAAGCAAAATAACTTGAGAATATAGATTTATTGCCATTTTATTGATTAACAGTAACCAGTTGCATGTTCTTTGTCAGTTTACCATACGTTTATTTTGACAAACAATTCAAACAATTCCAAAGGAAATACACAAAGGCATCAAGGTTATTGCTAAACTACCTCCCTGACATGAAAATTGAGTTCACTTTTAAGAAAGTGACGTCTCTTTTCTGTGATAGTTACTATTTCCTTAGGAATTTTTTGGGTGGTAACTCAAATAGTTTTTTATGTGCCAGATTAAGCAATTCGCATTTTTTCTTATGTGCTTTCATTTTACTTGCAGAAGATCTGTTATAGATAGTAAATCTGAGGTACTGAGTCTTAATTTATACACAATTTAAGATTTAAATATGCAAAAAACTAACAAATAAATAAATGCTTATTATGATCTTTCATTAGTTATTGAGCTGTTCCTAACCATGCTTTTTGAATTTTTGTTTCATTTTTTCTTTTTTTTTTTTTAGTTTTGTGCATTTATTTGTTTTACTTACTTGTGATATTTAAAATCACGTTAAGATTTGAATTTGGTAATGTTCATACTTATTTCATCTAATACCGAAAAAGATTTGTAAGATAATTTAGCTTTTATGTTGACAACTAATGCAAATTATTGTCTATTGTGTATTTTTGATGAGAAATGTCCAGCTTTGATCTAAATTTTATACTAATGTCAACTTTGAAATAATGTTTAGACTCACAGAGACGGCACGGTTGCTGCGGAATGTGTTCACACGACCATCAACAGCAACCATTCAGGCACCAGAAGCTCAACAGAGAGATCGTGAGTAATGAGTTACACTAGACTGTATTTGAAAACTTAAAAAAA